AAAAAAGAAATCACATTCTCAGAAATTAGGCCATCCCAGGTGGGATTCGAACTCACGACCTTTGAATTAGAAGTTCCACGCGCTATCTATCCATTGCGCTACAGGGACACAACGAACAATTTTCTTTTCTATATAAGCTGTTGGAATATTATTTTTGTTTGTTACTATTTATTCATTTTTTAATTTAATTAATGAATTAATGTTTGAAAAAACTGTATTAGCATCAAGTGTCATTCACTACAAGTTTCAAAAAATGTATTTGAACTTAAATAAATGAATAGAAAGTATTTTATTAACGATTGAAAATTTGAACAAGATATACATACATATATATAGAGAGAGAGAGAAAGTGAACTAGTAGTAAGAATTGAGTGAACACTGTCATGAGATACATCAAAAAATAAAACCCGATTTTAAATGTGTACTCAAAAAATCTTACAATCACAATTTATTTAAATTTACACAAAATAAACTGATAATTCAGTACAATCAATAATTATCTTAAAATTTACTTCTCCATTTTTTTAAAAAAATGTAAAAAACACTTTCCCCCCCCCCCCCCAAAAAAAATCAAATGTTGATGTAATTTTTTATTACAACCATTTAAAATAAATCAGCATTGAATAAGAGTAAAACAATTCCAAACGAAATTAGATTTTCACAAATATATAAGCAAGGAATTTTTTAATTTAATTGCCTCAGACAAATATATTTTCCTAAATTTGAAAATGTTCTTACTAACAGCATACTATGTTAAAAATCAGAACAGTCTCAGATTCTTATATGCACAATAAGATCTCCATACAAATCAATAGTTTCCTCCAATGCGTCATCTGCGTTTTTTTTTAAATAGAAAAAGAGAAAGAAATACACTTGCAATCGCATTTCTATAGATAAAAAATAAAAAAAGATCAGAGTGGGAGAAAAATTCAGTGACAGGAAAAAGATAAGCGGGATAACAACTACCGAAAAAGAAAAAAAAGGTTTCCGAAAAGGTAATAAAAATATAATAAAGCAGAACTGAAACGCGAAAAGGATGCTGGGGTAAGAGGAATTCGCATTCAAATACCTATCACGTCTGCGGAAGCCATTCTAATGCTGTTGTACACGCGCGTGGAGGGAAAAGCTTTCAGCTGTTAGCCATCTTTCTATTGAACCAGAAATGCAAAAGTGTGATGTGTTCCACACTCTCTTACGCAGCACTTTCTATATCCGGCGCAAAGTGGCGGCTTTGAATAGCTAACTTGTTGCCTCATATTTATTTGAAGAGGTTCGGGGGAAAAAATTATAAATTATATAAAAGACTTGAATATTGCCTTTTAAAGGAAATCGTAAAATGACATGAACTTGATCCACAAAATGAATTGAAATTTATAATAATGAAATTTATGCGTTTTTAAACAACATTAATTAATGCTTAACGCCGTATATAATTAAATTTATTCTTTAAACTTGTTGCCCCAATGTTACTTCAAAAAAAAAATAATAATAATAATTCTCATTAATGTGAACCAAGTTAACCTCCTTCTCATAATGTTAAAAGTGAGTAAGTGCTTATTAATGTCGCATTTAAAGTAACATAAGGGCGAGAACTATTGGCGAGAATGATTTTGAACCGATGAAGTGATAAGAACACCACCAGGGCCGGTATCACACTTTCCTAACTTCCACACCACGTCAACTTGAGAGCTTTCGGCAAATTTAACATGCATCAGCCCCTCTACATGGCGTCTCATCAGGATTCGAACCCGTGAACGCTGTCTACGAGTCCGTGACTATGACCACTAGGCTACCCCGACCACGTTTATTAACTAAATCTAGGAATATATTCATTAAAAAGCTATTCGATTAAAAAATATATTATTTCTTTTCATATATTATTAAACATGCAGTGGGGCCCCTCTACACGATAGGTCTTCAGCGACACAAGGCTCGAACTCATGACACGGCAGCCACTAGCCCGTGACCTTTCCCACTAGGTCACTGCGGTCATAAATGTTGAGTGAGTGTTGTGTTTAATGGCGCAAGAGCCAATTTTGGCTATACTGCGCCACACAAATGTTGAGTCATAAAGATAAGGAATGTGTACCTGTACAAATTATAGAGCACAGGCTTTTTTTCCCATTTTACAAACCCCACCCCCATGTTTGTTTGTTTTTTAAATTTTTTAAATAAAAAAATTCAATCTGTGTTTTTTTTATTTTTTTCGTTAAAACACAAGTCGTACAATTAGTGAACATGAAAATATTACTCAACTTTAAAAAAAAAATGTCATCTATCAATGTATTAGGCTAATAGCGAACTCTAAAATATCAACATTGATTTTCACTAACTCTTAATTCATCTAGTTTATATCTTGCATCATAAGACCCACACCATAATCATTACAAGCACTAGCAAATACTCCAAGCCACAGTGCGAAAATAACATAATTCGAACCTAGAATGAACACAACATCTCCAGCAACCTACAGCAGCTGGAAGAAGAGTGGGTTACTAATGTATGCCAGGCGGGCGTCGAGAATTCCTCGAATTACACGAGGCCTTTGCCAAGTCCAGCCATTTGTCTCGGTTTGCTGCAGACTCACGTGGAATCGGAAGACGCTCCTCGAGAAACGGGATCTATCTCAAGAGGTCACGCTCTGCATCCCTTCAAGGGTCCGATTTCTCATTCTCAACAATGTCAGCAACGCGATTGTATGCAGAAGGAAATAGTTTATTCACTGGGTTGATTTGGGGTAAAGGAGAATCAATTGCTTGTTCCTCGATGACTCAGAATTCGAAATATGTGACGAGAGTAAAGCTATGAAACTAGTGTAGGAAACTAAATAATTATAACGCCAAGAGTATCGTTTAAACATTATGCCTGCCAGTATGAATGATACTACTCAATGAAAAATCACCAAACCATTTAATGTCTTTTTTCAGCCCATAACATCTAATGCAGCTTTAACCATAAACGGGCATTTTGTATCATGCACTCCAAACAGGAAAAAAAATTATGGTAAGCCAAGATTGGTAAAAAGAAGTATAACTTTACACTACAGTAAACGAAATATGTGTTAAAAATCTCGTTTAAGCAATGCAATTTTTGTTACCGACTATAAAATATATAAAACGTTCAAAGTACTGTGTACATCAAGGGTGTCAAACTTAAAGGCTAACTTGGGTCAAACAAACAAAGTTTAACTTTAGAGTTGGGCCGCATAAACAATCAATATTCATAGAAACGTAGGTTTATTTCGCGCGCGAATAATACATTATAATAAACATAAATAAGAAAACAAGAAAAATTTAATGTTTATGTCTTGACACCTCTTCCCTGCTATTATTTTTCCTATTTCTGGAGAAATATTGTATTATATATTATTGTCGATATATCGGTCGGAACGCAAAAATGTTCGTTGCGGGCCGCGAGTTTGATACCCTTGGTGTACATCGTCAGAGACGACCTAAGGCTTCTTGAGGCGTTAGTCCCCTTTGCAGAAGTCGGCCCCACCTACGACCTTTTTAAGTTTACAGTATATAGCATAAAAGCCGTATACAATATATAGCATTGTAGCCCAGCGGCTGAGTGGTAGTGTATCGCACTTCCACGCCATAGGTCCCTGGTTCAAATCCCGGGCTGAGCAAGGTCGACTCAGCCTTTCATCCCTTCAGTGGGTCGATAAATGAGTACCAAGCTTGCTTGGGAATTGAACACTGGGGGTTTCGAGACAGATTGACCACTTGACCGAAACATCTGCACATGCACCCCAGCGCTTAAGGTTACAAAAACTGAGATAGGCACAGTTAACCTTGGCCCTCAAGGGCTGTTGCGCCACTGAATTCAGTCCAGTATATAGCATACATTGACAAATACTCATACAAACAACGACCCATAACAAATATGTTTAACTCAAAATATCAAAAACCTAGGCACAAATCGACTCACTTGACTGCCGCCTTTCCGCTAAATAACGATGTATTATAGTGGGCTTAGGCCTAGACACGGAAATGACATATTAATGCAGTCTTGACACTGATGCCAATTGGCATGTAGTTAGAAATTCTGAGTTTTTCGCATTAACAAGACAAGGAATAACATTTGACGAAAAAAATTATTCGGATGATTATCTTATTGAAGCTGAATCAAGAACAAATCGAGCCTTTCCGCGTGAGGGTTGGCCCATGTGGCTTATAACGTCTCTGTATATTATGCACAATCAAAAAGGCACAAATAATGGTTGGTGGAGATCAAAGGAAGATACGCCACAAAATCTGCTAGAATGAAACTGGCAGTAGTAAATATCTTCCATTGACGAATATTCACTCATAATAAAAACAGCTTGCCAGTGCAAGCTAGACAGGTCTCGATATCTTGGCTAGTTAATTATAGCAATGAAACAGTCAATATCTAAACTATGTATGATCAAATTATGAATTGCATGTACCAGAACTATCACACACAAAAAAATGCCATTTTTTTTATCTATCAAAAAAACACACTTAAAATCACTAAAAAGGTAACGGATTATTTATGCAAAAGATGGCAAAGAAAATAAAGGCCCGTAAAATACGGAAGAAGCGGATAGTATCTCATTAAAAGTTCGTTTCAGGAAGATCAATAATTTCAAGACGGAGCTATTTATAACTTGGGAGAGAGATTCGTTCTTAATGAATTCATTCATTCATGAAACACGCACGGTAGTTTATGCGAGTGGGAATGCCATAACTTAATTGACATGAATAGATTTTGTGCATGGATGGCATTAAACGAACACTTAATAAAGTTCACGATCGAAGACAGTAACAGACTTGTGTTTTTATGATTCTTTATTCACAAATGGAACGCAAAATATTCTACGGATTTATGAATCTAGAATTAATGGATACACGTAAAATGGAAAGCTAGATCGATTGCCGATTTAAATGTCTTATAATCTTCACTTCAGCATATTTAAAACGTACGTGTGCCCTTTAAATAATTCTAAAAAACATCCTCAAAAATAATCAGAAGTTACAAACTGCTTCATTTTTCCAGATAAAAATTTTTTCCCCCTTGCGTGCTTGGCAAAAATAATCGAAGACCAACTTCGACCAATGGGCTACATTCATGATAGTCACATG